GCTTCAAAACGTTTAAGTTAAAAAGACAGAAATTGTTTAAACTATTTACAATATTGAAAGAAAGAACCTTGTTTATTTTGTGAATACGTTTATTTACACTGTCTACATATTCTGTGTTTTGTTTAAGGTTTTTTACCTTGCTTGCTCGATGTAACCCAACTCTCAGCTAAAAAGAAAATGAAATTAAAGGAGTAAAAAGAAGAGGAAAAGTTGTGGTCATTGGAGGAATTGCATGAGTAAAATCCAGTTCAACTCTATGCTCTGTACCATCCCTTTCAAGTGGGGAAGCTGCGCAGGAAAATCCTAGCCAACTTGACAATTGAATTGTGCTGCAACCTCAGACATGAACAATGTTTTTATATTTCATCTAAAGCTGCTGCCAAGTGCACTTCTCCCCCGCCAGATTGCACCTAAATAAAATAAATTAATGGGCTACTATTCCAGCAGTTTTCCTGTAATATTATTGTGACTGCAAAGGACAACATTTAAACGTACGCATTGACCCGAGCAGCAATGTTCTCCACGCCATCTCCCTCTGTTTTGTGGCTGCAGCAGTGTTGCACTTCTTTTTAAAAACGCGTTCAAACTCGCCATATTAAGATTTCCAGTTCTAGTGGGGTGAAAAACGTAGCCCTTCTCTTCCCCGTTGCCATGATGACTTGACGAATCGGGGCTCTAGTGATGCTAGCTTTTTATAGTTGTGGTGCACGAGCTTAACTCCAGGTGAAACTACTCCGAGTTGATTAAACTAACTCAAATCTGCTGTTCTAGAACCAGAAACTCAGAGTTTCCTATCTCAAGAGTAGAATAACTCAGAGTTCAGGATTAGGCTAAGAGTTTGTTGAACCTGCTTTGTGAAACGTACACCAGGTCGACTCAAACACACGATGACAACAAGCTTCTGGATCATCTGATTGGCTGACTGCTGTCTCTGTGTTTCTGTCCAATCCTGAAGTCTGTCACCATTCTGCTCTCACAGCAGCACTGAGAAGCTGCAGGTTTACAGGAGACACTGGATCTTTGTTTTGATACCGACTGTATTTAGCAGAAAACTGCTGAAAGCAGCAGAGACTGACTGGAACCTTCTACTGACCTCAGAGTCTGCAGGCTGCAGTCTGGACTCTCCACAAGATCTAACAGATGCTTCACTGCTGAACCCTGCAGGTCGTTCCTGCTCAGGTCCAGCTGTTCCAAATGGGAGGGGTTGGACTTCAGAGCTGAGGCCAGAGAATCACAGCTGATCTTTGACAACCTGCAGCGCTTCAATCTGAATACAGAATAAAAGATGTAGATAAAATCATTGATGATCCACCAGATGTGTTCAGGTTCTGAATGTGGAGCTCAACAATGAGCTTTTCTCTACAACCAGCAGAGTGACTTTGTCCTTGTGTTATTGTGGATCATCATGTCAGCTTCTACACACATCATCCAGATGTCAGCACAACATCCATCCAGCTGTTCATGTCCACACACATCAACAACATGCTGCATCATCAACAGGATCAGGATCAGTGAACTCACACTGACCTGAACACAAACCAAAGAAATATTTCTACTACAATCACTAAACTTTGTCACTTCAAACTGATCTGAGGTCAGAGGATCTTCTGGATCCAGATGTGACTCTTCAGCACAAATTACAAACATTCATTGATTTTAACAACTAACACTGAACATGTTCTACAGTTTCTGATACAAACACTCCACTTTGGCACGACAAACTAAATTTAGGACAAAAACCAGAAAATATGAACCAGAGCAGATTGTCTGGATAGAAGTTCTGTTTGAACATAAATGAGCTTCAGTTGTCATTAAACACATCAGATCTCCATCAGTAACAGACAGTCAGTGAACTGACCCCAGAGTCCGCAGGCTGCAGTGTGGACTCTCTAGAAAACCACACAGATGTTTCACTCCTGAATCCTCTAGCTGGTTGTAGTTTAGGTCCAGATCTTTCAGATGGGAGGGGTTGGACTTCAGAGCTGAGGCCAGAGAATCACAGCTGATCTCTGACAACCTGCAGCCCCACAATCTGAATAAAGAAAAAAAAAATGTGAGTTGAAGAGACAAAGTTCCTGCTTGAAATCATTCAGAGTTTCATCATGTGTTCAGAGCTGAAGAAGCTTCAGAATGTACAAGTTCAGAAAATGGAAACTCCAAACAGCTGAAGCCAACAGGATGCAGCTTCAGACAGTCCAACAGAACCAGAGAAGAAGAACTCTCATTAATATTAATGACAACACACTGCTGCTTCAATAAAGATGGAGCCACATCAGCTCTGAACTCCGCAGCTCCACCAGTGGCTCCATCGATACAAACTCACGCAACAAACAAAAGCAAAACACTGACATTTATTTCACTTCATTCGCCATCAAAGAGGAAGCGTGTCTAACGACCCTGTAATGCACCAATCTGCCTCAAACTTTACATACTTGATCATAGTCCTGCCCTGATGAAACCTGTATGTCAATATCCATTCACAGTCATAGCGCCACCTGCTGGCAATAGGAAAGAACATGCTTTACACTTGTATGCGCGAGTATGAGCCGGTTGATCATATTGACCTCAAATGTGGTGAAGTAAGCCTTATGATGCTGATAATGACTCACAGTGACATTTGTGAGTTTTCTTCAAACGTTGTGTCCGTGGCGCCCTCTGAACTTTGATGCTTTGCCATGAAAAAGCAAGTGCTGTCTCCCTGCCCTCTACCTCAAACTTTATATGTTGGATCCGAGTCCTGCCCTGATGACATTCTCATGCCATCATCCATTCACAGTCACAGCGCCACCTTCTGGCAACTGGAAAGGACACGTTTTACACTTGTACTTGCTAATATTAGCCGGTTGTCCATATTAACCTCTTAGGGTTACGGTTAGGTGATTGTTGGAATTCTGTTGGACAGATAGACGATAGGTGGTTTTATATGTCTTTACCAGGCATTACCAAATGGTGGACCTTGGTCCGGATCCGGACCGAGTGTTGGTTCTGTCCGGACCCTTGACCAATCTCTGATAAATTCATGAGAATAGATGTTCATGGAGCATTTTTTCCGACAGTCGCGGCTATAGACAGCGGCCACTGCTACTCCAGTTAATACGGCAATAGCTCCACTCAGTCCAGCCAATCAAATCGTTTGGTTACCCTGCACGGCTAGCGCACCGCCACAGGCAACAAAGGGTTATTCGGCTCTGTTTGCACTTTTTAAAATGTGTTTTATGCTGCATTTTTTGTTTTCTCAAATCTGAAATAAAGGCCTCATTTTTTTTTTTTTGCTGGGACTACTTATATATATGGTAAAAGAGCTAGCTGTGCACTCAGTTAAACATATCCTGCACTGAAAATTGACAACAACTATTGTTAAAACAATGAAAATGTGGCCATAGGGGAAGGCTATAAGACACAAACAGGACTTTGGTTCAGACCTTTTACTTGGAGGAAACTTTAAAAACTGGACCTCAGTGACTTTTAATTGAATTCCCCTGGTCTATACAATTGCTATGTGTACCATACGTCAGTGTTTGGTGTTAATGTTGTGGTTTTTAGGGTGGGATGTTTCTGTTATATATCTTGATTTGTGTGTGTTTCTTGTAAATGTACTTCAAAAACACAAAAAATCAAAATTAAAAAAATATTAAAAATGAGGCTCCAGTCTCTGAAACATGTTCACGTTCTGGAACCGTGGAGACGTTTCAATCAGGACTCTACATTCAGATGGTTTCATTATTGATCATGTGTCATAGATAGAGGAAAGTGTCCATCACAGTGTTCAGAGGACCAGGTGACGTCGTCACACTGTTTTCTGAAACACAAACATCTTCACTTGAAATGACACAAAGGAGAGAAAAGAAGAAAATCAGCAGAAAGTGAAGCAGAAAATGTTCTGTTAAGGTCATAAAAAGTGCAGAAGATTAGTGCCAATTTAAATTTCAGTATCTAAGGATTAAAAAACCATATGTATAAAAAAAAAAAAACAATTTTGATTAGGGATTCTCAAGAAATAGCAATTTGAAAATTATGCTTATTTTCCTCTAAATAACGTAATTTTAAGGTCTTGTCAAAGGCACAAGATTGTAAATTTTGGACAAAAATGGCATTTAAAACATTTAAGGGCTGCTAAGTGTAAATATCCCCAAACGTTTTCAACTGGATTTAGTTCAGCGGAGTTACATACCACCTTAAGCCTATCTACCATGTCAAGGTACCAATCACACACCCACCCAGCGCCTCTCACCGTGGGCAACTCTGGAAAAGGAGAGAGTCCAACCCCTCTCCAGGAGTTTGGTTCCGGAGCCCTTGCTATGTGTGGAGGTGAGCCCGACTATACCTAGCCGGTAACGCTCCACCTCCTGCACCAGCTCAGGCGCCTTCCCCGCCAGTGAGGTGACAGTCCATGTCCCTAGAGCTAGTCTACGCCACCAGGGGGGTGGTACAAGGATCAGAAATCACTTTATTAAATGTATATGCACCTCCAGGTGCAACAGTGGGGTTGTACAGACACATTTTTGATCTAATGATTACAAAAGACAAGGGTATGGTGGTTTGTGCCAGGGACTTGAATACGAGACTTGATCCAAAATGGGATGTGCCAAGACCAACTCAGTCACATAATATCATAGTGGTTAAAAAAGTAAGACACATAATGAGAGAGATGGGCATTTGTGAAGTATGGAGAGAGTTCAATCCAACATTAAGAGATTATACATTTTACTCCTCACCACATAAAACATACTCTAGGATTGATTATTTTTTTATACAGTAAAGATATCAGTCTTGTAAAGTCATGTAAAATTGGAACAATGGACCTATCAGACCATAGCCCAGTGTACCTAGATTTAAATCTAAAAAATACCTTCACCTGGAGACTTAACTTTAGTGTACTTCAGTGAAAAATGAAAGATGAAATAAAAGAGGAAATCTCATTAGACCTGTCTGAAAACGATAATGGGAAAGTGTCCCCACCCATGGTTTGAAGATCCTCAGTGTGGATCAGTAGAATATCAGCCTGATGGCTGCAGTTTAGTGTCCCCACAACTTGACATCACATCTCAGCACACAAATAAAACATGATGTCTGACCTCAGAGTCTCCAGGCTGCATTGTGGACTCTCCAGAAAACCACACAGATGCTTCATTCCTGAATCCTGCAGGTTGTTGTAGCTCAGGTCCAGATCTTTCAGATGGGAGGGGTTGGACTTCAGAGCTGAGACCAGAGAATCACAGCTGATCTCTGACAAACTGCAGCGTCTCAATCTGAATAAAGAATAAAAAATGTGAGTTGAAGAGACAAAGTGCCTGCTTGAAATCATTCAGAGTTTCATCATGTGTTCAGAGCTGAAGAAGCTTCAGAATGTACAAGTTCAGAAAATGGAAACTCTAAACAGCTGAAGCCACCAGGATGCAGCTTCAGACAGTCCAACAGAACCAGAGAAGAAAAATCTTGAGGGAAATGTCTAAATCATTTCTATAAATGGAAATAAAACAAATTATTTAATGTACCATTGGAGCCACAAATACACTGTGTACTGAGGTTAAATACAAGCAGATCTGAATGTTTCTGTCAGTACAAACATGACAGAAGCTTCAAATGCTGTTGGAAACATCAGAGAGTCAATATATGTTTTTCACTGTCTGATTAATTTAAGGAAAAATGAAAGCTTTTATCAAACCTTACATTCCCAACTCAAATTGAGCAATGAACATCAGATAGACACCTTTCTTTCCTACCTTTCTCTCCCTACAGTCACAAGTGAAGAAAATACGCAGGTAATATCAGAGATAACTGAAGAAGAACTAAGATCGGATGTTGGAGAGTTAAGAGGAGGAAAATCTCCAGGAACAGACGGCTTTGCCTCCGAGTGGTATAAAGAAATGCAAGATCAGTTAGTCCCTACTTTAGTAAGAGCATTCAACTGTGTGATGGAAAAGAAAATAATCCTGCCTTCCTGGAGAGCAGCTGTGTGAACATTTAAATAGCATCTTTACTGAAACAAGACACCCATGTGCCTTGACGGTCACCTGAGTTTTTGATGTAGTCAGTTTTGCTGTTTCCCCCACCAGGGGGTATAAACAGGGATAATCCTGAGGGCCCGTCCATACTTCCATTTTCTTTCAATTTTACCTAGATTTACTAAAATTAGCTAAAAATGAAATTAAACAGATTATGACCAAAGATGTAATTTTCCTGTATAACCTATAGCAAACTTTACCCCCTCCTCAGGGGGAAATGTGAGACGCTGGGGTTATGAAAATCACCGTTTTGGTAAAAGACCTTAAGACCCTGCCATTCACAAAGAGTATTAGATTCTACCATATCTGGATGTTGAGAGGAAGATCTTTGAAATTTTAGTTAATTTGACCCCTTTTGACCCTGGTGGTCAGCCAGAGTCAGTTTGGAGATGTCATCAAATTGCAATCCAATACTAATAATTTGAAACAAGTTTGAAATATTTTCAATGGAAATTAAATAAATTGTGATCAACAATTTAATTTTCCTATATAAACTATAGTAAATTTTGCCCCCTCCCCAGGGGGAAATGTCCCATCCATCCATTATCTATACACCGCTTAATTCTCACTAGGGTGGTGGGGGGGCTGGAGTCTATCCCAGCTGACTCAGGGTGAAGGCAGGGGACACCCTGGACAGGTCACCAGTCTATCACAGGGCCACACTTAGAGACAGACAANATGGAAATTAAATAAATTGTGATCAACAATGTAATTTTCCTATATAAACTATAGTAAATTTTGCCCCCTCCCCAGGGGGAAATGTCCCATCCATCTATTATCTATACACCGCTTAATTCTCACTAGGGTGGTGGGGGGGCTGGAGCCTATCCCAGCTGACTCAGGGTGAAGGCAGGGGACACCCTAGACAGGTCACCAGTCCATCGCAGGGCCACACTTAGAGACAAACAACCAAACACACTCACATTCACACCTGCGGACAATTTAGAATCACCAATTAACCTGAACGTGTTTTTGGACTGTGTGGGAGGAAGCTGGAGAACCCAGAGGGAACCCACACTGCACGGGGAGAACATGCAAACTCCATGCAGAAAGTTCCCGGTGTCCTCCCCAGAATGCGAGCCAGCGACCTTCTTGCTGCCAGGCAACGGTGCTAACCACCGCGCCACCCTGCAGCCCAGGGGATAATGTGAGACCATGAAATTCACAATTTTGGTAAAGGACCTTAAGACCCTTTCTTCCATGAAGAGTATTTGATTCTACCATACATAGGTGGTGACAAGAAGATTTTAAAATTTTAGTCAGTTTGACCCCGTTTGGCCCTGCCTCTCAGGCCTCTGGAGACCAGGGTCCACATAATTAACAATTTTGATTCACCTTTGTCCATGGAAGGTTTCTGCAAAATTTCACTGAAGTTGCTTCAGGAGTTTCTGAAATGTAAAAAGTTTATGGACGCACGATGGGCGACGCAATAGGTCCCCTGGACTTTGTCCAATTTGACCTAAAAATCCTGTGTAATTGTGAAACCCTGTACTTAGGAGACATTTCATATGATAACTGGACTCTGAAAGATTAAAAAAATCTGCTTTCAATGCTTTTGACAGCAAGCAAAAAGACTATCACTATAAAACGGTTAAGGCCTGAAGCACCCATAATTGAAGAATGGACCGAAATTGTACAGGATATTTACATTTTGGAGAAGTTGTCATTTTCTTTCAAGGGTCAAAGGGAATCGTTTTTCAGGATTTGGTCAAAATGGATAGAATATGTAAAACCTGTAGTCTTTGTGAATTGAATATGTCTGTTATATGAAAACACTTTCTGATATCCATTCCTGTTTTGGTTTGTGTAAACATACACACTTTAATGTGTTTTTTCCTGATGCGACAAGAAATGGAGCAATACCTCTCCTCCTGCCCACTTGTTATAGTCGCTCTATTATTCTATTAAAAACCTGGATTAGCAATGAATATTCTCGCAACTACAAACAGAATTGTACCTAGAACGGAAGTTCTGTATATTTTACCCTTACAAATAAACAATACATTTAAAAAAAATAAATACATCTTTAAAAACAGGAAAATTTAAAATAAATCAACTATGAGGTCAAAGGACTAAAGCAGAGAAGAAGAAAACAGATGAGACCATAAAGATCCTCAGTGTGGATCAGTAGAATATCAGCCTGATGCCTGCAGTTTAGTGTCCCCACAACTTTACATCACATCTCAGCACACAAATAAAACATGATGTCTGACCTCAGAGCCTCCAGGCTGCAGTCTGGACTCTCCAGAAAACCACACAGATGCTTCACTCCTGGATACTGCAGGTCGTTCTTAGTCAGGTCCAGATGTTTCAGATGGGAGGGGTTGGACTTCAGAGCTGAGGCCAGAGAATCACAGCTGATCTTTGACAAACTGCAGCACCTCAAGCTGAACAAAGACAAAAAAAATGTGAGTTGAAGAGAGAAAGTTACTGCTTGAAATCATTCAGTTTCATCATGTGTTCAGAGCTGAAGACGCTTCAGAATGTACAAGTTCAGAAAATGGAAACTCCAAACAGCTGAAGCCAACAGGATGCAGCTTCAAACAGTCCAACAGAAGCAGAGAAGAAGAGCTCTCATTGACATGAATGACAACACGCTGCTGCTTTAAAAAAAAAAAAGAAGCAACTTCAGCTCTGAAACTCTGCAGCTCCACCAGTGGCTCCATCAATACAAACTCATGCTGAGCAACAAACACAAGGAAAACACACTGACATTTATTTCACTTTCTGCTCAGAGTCACACAAACACACAATCAGAGAACATGGACAAAATGAGGCTCCACACTCATGTTCATGTTCTGGAACTTTGGAGACGTTTCCATCAGGATGCTACAATCAGACGGTTTCATTATTGATCATCTGTCATTGATGGAGACAGAGTGTGTGCCAATTATCGAGGTATCACACTTCTCAGCCTCCCC